GAAAAAAATCTGAAAATACCGTTTTGTTTTATAAGTTGAGCTTTTGTTATTGTTTTTAGAAACACTGCCCTCCCTAAGGTGTTGTGTTCTCCCTATATCCAGTATAGCCTCTCTGCACTTCTTCAGTGGCATTATGGTCAAGAAAACAAAACAAAAAAAACAAGATGTGCACGGACTCATCGATCAGTTTCTCGACAGTTGTGATTTCATTTTTAACTGTGTACTGTTTACAGCCAGCTTTCTGGATTATTGAAAACGACAATATTACAATATTTACGACAGGTATCAATATAATATATTGGCTAGTAGTTATTTTTCTGTGTTGGTCCTGTACTAGCTGGACAAGTTACTATGCAAAGAACACACTTCGTGAATTGTCCTGTATGTGAATCTCGATTGTGAAAAATCATCGGTGGTAGCGCGAGGTTATACGTAGCAGTGTAGCGCAGGTCTGCTGTGAAGGCCACTACAAACATTCGCCTTCAGGATGAATCACATTTTATTTTTTCTTGGTTTGGTAACAGACTGTCATGATGTTACATGGTTAAAGTCGTACAGTTATTTCTGTATTGTGTCATTTTGCCATTTAGTCGTGTTGTTGCTATCATTACTGTACACGCAGTGATCAAAGGGATCGAAAAACTGCTTTATTGGGCTGAAACAGACTTCTTCCTTTTTTGGGTGAAAAATAATTTTGGTTCAAAGAGCAAGGCGGTGTTATGGTGTTCAGCACTACTGAGCACCGTGACTTTTACATGACACTAAAACTTGAACTTTCACTTCAGGGATATTCTCAAGCTTTCCCGTGGGAGCTAAATTCATAAGGTCTCTGTCACACAGGGATGAAGCAGTCTGCCCTCACCGGAACCACATAATGTGACAGAACAAAAACACAACCGTCTCCATTGAATGGGAACCTCAAAAAACATTGTTTTGCTCCCCTGGGATTGACTGACTGTTAGGAGTCAGGCAAGCACATTAAAGTGGAAACACAGCTCTTAAAGTTTCTGAAAGTTTTTCAGTGGCTTCTGAGGACGCTGTCGCTCTATAGACCTGCCACTCGGCTTGTGAGAAGCCATTTGGGTGTATGAAGTGTTAAAGGCTGG